AATCGACAAAATATTGAAAATCTGTGGTCACTTCAATTTCCCATCAAAAATCGATTTTTATATGAAAAACTAAAATCGGCTCTAGCTCCTTAAATAAGCCTCCAATCGACAAAATATTGAAAATCTGTGATCACTTTTATTTCCTACCAAAAATCGATTTTTTATATGAAAAACTAAAATCGGCTCTAGCTCCTTAAATAAGCCTCCAATCGACAAAATATTTAAAATCTGTGATCACTTCAATTTCCCATCAAAAATCGATTTTTTATATGAAAAACTAAAATCGGCAAAATATTGAAAATCTGTTATCACTTTTATTTCCTACCAAAAATCGATTGTTATATGAAAACTAAAATCGGCTCTAGCTGCTTAAATATGCCTCCAATCGACAAAATATTGAAAATCTGTGATCACTTCAATTTCCCATCAAAAATCGATTTTTAATATGAAAAACTAAAATCGGCTCTAGCTCCTTAAATAAGCCTCCAATCGACAAAATATTGAAAATCTGTGATCACTTTTATTTCCTACCAAAAATCGATTTTTTATATGAAAAACTAAAATCGGCTCTAGCTCCTTAAATCGACAAAATGTTGAAAATCTGTAATCACTTTTATTTCCTACAAAAATGGATTTTTTATATGAAAAACTAAAATCGGCTCTAGCTCCTTAAATAAGCCTCCAATCGACAAAATATTGAAAATCTGTGATCACTTTTATTTCCTACCAAAAATCGATTTTTTATATGAAAAACTAAAATCGGCTCTAGCTCCTTAAATAAGCCTCCAATCGACAAAATATTGAAAATCTGTGATCACTTTTATTTCCTACCAAAAATCGATTTTTTATATGAAAAACTAAAATCGGCTCTAGCTCCTTAAATCGACAAAATATTGAAAATCTGTGATCACTTTAATTTCCCATCAAAAATCAATTTTTATATGAAAAACTAAAATCGGCTCTAGCTCCTTAAATAAGCCTCCAATCGACAAAATATTGAAAATCTGTGATCACTTTTATTTCCTACCAAAAATCGATTTTTTATATGAAAAACTAAAATCGGCTCTAGCTCTTTAAATATGCCTCCAATCGACAAAATATTGAAAATCTGTGATCACTTTTATTTCCTACCAAAAATCGATTGTTATATGAAAAACTAAAATCGGCTCTAGCTCTTTAAATAAGCCTCTAATCGACAAAATATTGAAAATCTGTAATCACTTTAATTTCCCATCAAAAATCGATTTTTATATGAAAAAATAAAATCGGCTCTAGCTCTTTAAATATGCCTCCAATCGACAAAATATTGAAAATCTGTGATCACTTTTATTTCCTACAAAAATCGATTTTTTATATGAAAAACTAAAATCGGCTCTAGCTCTTTAAATAAGCCTCCAATCGACAAAATATTGAAAATCTGTGGTCACTTCAATTTCCCATCAAAAATCGATTTTTATATGAAAAACTAAAATCGGCTCTAGCTCCTTAAATAAGCCTCCAATCGACAAAATATTGAAAATCTGTGATCACTTTTATTTCCTACCAAAAATCGATTTTTTATATGAAAAACTAAAATCGGCTCTAGCTCCTTAAATAAGCCTCCAATCGACAAAATATTTAAAATCTGTGATCACTTCAATTTCCCATCAAAAATCGATTTTTTATATGAAAAACTAAAATCGGCAAAATATTGAAAATCTGTTATCACTTTTATTTCCTACCAAAAATCGATTGTTATATGAAAACTAAAATCGGCTCTAGCTGCTTAAATATGCCTCCAATCGACAAAATATTGAAAATCTGTGATCACTTCAATTTCCCATCAAAAATCGATTTTTAATATGAAAAACTAAAATCGGCTCTAGCTCCTTAAATAAGCCTCCAATCGACAAAATATTGAAAATCTGTGATCACTTTTATTTCCTACCAAAAATCGATTTTTTATATGAAAAACTAAAATCGGCTCTAGCTCCTTAAATCGACAAAATGTTGAAAATCTGTAATCACTTTTATTTCCTACAAAAATGGATTTTTTATATGAAAAACTAAAATCGGCTCTAGCTCCTTAAATAAGCCTCCAATCGACAAAATATTGAAAATCTGTGATCACTTTTATTTCCTACCAAAAATCGATTTTTTATATGAAAAACTAAAATCGGCTCTAGCTCCTTAAATAAGCCTCCAATCGACAAAATATTGAAAATCTGTGATCACTTTTATTTCCTACCAAAAATCGATTTTTTATATGAAAAACTAAAATCGGCTCTAGCTCCTTAAATCGACAAAATATTGAAAATCTGTGATCACTTTAATTTCCCATCAAAAATCAATTTTTATATGAAAAACTAAAATCGGCTCTAGCTCCTTAAATAAGCCTCCAATCGACAAAATATTGAAAATCTGTGATCACTTTTATTTCCTACCAAAAATCGATTTTTTATATGAAAAACTAAAATCGGCTCTAGCTCTTTAAATATGCCTCCAATCGACAAAATATTGAAAATCTGTGATCACTTTTATTTCCTACCAAAAATCGATTGTTATATGAAAAACTAAAATCGGCTCTAGCTCTTTAAATAAGCCTCTAATCGACAAAATATTGAAAATCTGTAATCATCGATTTTTATATGAAAAAATAAAATCGGCTCTAGCTCTTTAAATATGCCTCCAATCGACAAAATATTGAAAATCTGTGATCACTTTTATTTCCTACAAAAATCGATTTTTTATATGAAAAACTAAAATCGGCTCTAGCTCTTTAAATAAGCCTCCAATCGACAAAATATTGAAAATCTGTGGTCACTTCAATTTCCCATCAAAAATCGATTTTTATATGAAAAACTAAAATCGGCTCTAGCTCCTTAAATAAGCCTCCAATCGACAAAATATTGAAAATCTGTGATCACTTTTATTTCCTACCAAAAATCGATTTTTTATATGAAAAACTAAAATCGGCTCTAGCTCCTTAAATAAGCCTCCAATCGACAAAATATTGAAAATCTGTGATCACTTCAATTTCCCATCAAAAATCGATTTTTTATATGAAAAACTAAAATCGGCTCTAGCTCCTTAAATAAGCCTCCAATCGACAAAATATTGAAAATCTGTGATCTCTTTTATTTCCTATCAAAAATCGATTTTTTATATGAAAAACTAAAATCGGCTCTAGCTCCTTAAATAAGCCTCCAATCGACAAAATATTGAAAATCTGTGATCATACTTATTTCCTGCCAAAAATCGATTTTTTATATGAAAAACTAAAATCGGCTCTTGCTCCTTAAATAAACCTCCAATCGACAAAATATTGAAAATCTGTGGTCACTTCAATTTCCCATCAAAAATCAATCAATCGACAAAATATTGAAAATCTGTGATCACTTTTATTTCCTACCAAAAATCGATTTTTATATGAAATACTAAAATCGGCTCTAGCTCTTTAAATAAGCCTCCAATCAACAAAATATTGAAAATCTGTGATCACTTTTATTTCCTACCAAAAATCGATTTTTTATATGAAATACTAAAATCGGCTCTAGCTCTTTAAATAAGCCTCCAATCGACAAAATATTGAAAATCTGTTATCACTTTTATTTCCCATTAAAAATCGATTTTTATATGAAATACTAAAATCGGCTCTAGCTCTTTAAATATGCCTCCAATCGACAAAATATTGAAAATCTGTGATCACTTTTATTTCCTACCAAAAATCGATTGTTATATGAAAAACTAAAATCGGCTCTAGCTCCTTAAATAAGCCTCCAATCGACAAAATATTGAAAATCTGTGATCACTTTAATTTCCTACCAGAAATCGATTTTTTATATGAAAAACTAAAGTCGGCTCTAGCTCTTTAAATAAGCCTCCAATCGACAAAATATTGAAAATCTGTGATCACTTTTATTTCCTACCAAAAATCGATTTTTTATATGAAAAATTAAAATCGGCTCTAGCTCCTTAAATAAGCCTCCAATCGACAAAATATTGAAAATCTGTGATCACTTCAATTTCCCATCAAAAATAGATTTTTTATATGAAAAACTAAAATCGGCTCTAGCTCCTTAAATAAGCCTCCAATCGACAAAATATCGAAAATCTGTGGTGACTTTTTTTATTTCCTACTAAATTACAATTTAGTTTGTTATAAGAAGAAAAAAAATTATTGTAAAAAAACATCCCTTTTATTCGATTAACCGAACAATTAATTTTGAATTATCCGATTATTAACCTGCTAAAATAAAACCTCAAATAATTATTTGTCGAATAAACCGAAAAACAATGTTTTGCGCAAAAAGTACCCAAAAAATAAGTACAATTTTCATGCCTTAAACGTCCGAATATCCTAAAAATGAATTATATTTTAATTTTTTCGTTATATTATGAAGGAGTAAATATATTTTTTTGAATGTTCGTTCACTGGTTTAAAAAATACATGGGGTGCAAAAAAAGAAACCAAATACAGTTTTTACCCGTTTATATAGGGGCCGATTTTGAAAAAAGTACCAGACATCTGTTCGCTTATTTATTAAATAAACGACGATAAGCTTTAAACTGTTTTTGTACCTTTTATGAGGTTACCGAATTCACCCGTTTTTACCCTTTTTACCCTCTAAACATTCGAATTTCTTAGTGGATCTATTTGGTGGGAGACCAACCTCCTGTCCAAATTTCAGCTTCAACCGTTTAGGGCTGTGCGATGATAAATCAGTCAGTCAGTAACGTTAATATTTTATATATTGAAAGTTCTATATTTATTCGAAATTTAAATCGAAAATATGGGAATTATAAAAAAACAAAAAATAGAAACCCTACATCTACTTCTCTTTTTTACAAGCATGTAAATGAAAAAATGCAACTCTGTTCACACACAAAAATCATTCACAATAATAAGAAATCAGCAACGAGTTGACCCGATTACTGATTTTTCAGCGAGTAACTAGTTAATTTTCATAAACATACAACGAGTTTTGTCGAGTTTCTTTTTGGCTTTTTATATTCAGCGTCATTTTCATTTTCGGTGTTGAAAGTTGATGAAATTTTTGTAATTTTTTATAAGATAAATTTTGCGGTAAAAACTGAAATATAAACGCATAAATTACATATTAATTAAATATATTAAACATCTACGGAAAAATATGTAATAATTTAAATAAAAATACGGTTTCTGACGGTCTTAAGAGACCGAAAAAAAATACAAAAAGTAAAATTGTAGGCAAAAAGAACAGCACGGATGAATTTTTTTCTTCAGTTCGGTGAAGAGCATATTAAAAAAAATATTTTTTTTTACAAGTGAAGAAAATTAAATAAAATCAATAACGTGAAAAAAACAACAAAAAATTTATAAAGTAAAAAGTGAATGTAATTTAAATGTTCTGAGAGAAAAAAAATTAATAAATTAATAAAAATTTAATACATATAATTATAATTGTGAATTAAGAATTTTTTCATTAAAAAGTTTTTTTTTGGGCCTGCTTGGCTGAATTGATGAATTTCGATAGAAATAATTTTTTCACAAAAAAAATTTTCTCTCGTCTCTGAAAATTTTTCTATGTTGTATGGTCGTTCGTTCGTACGTATCTTCCAATATTTTTTATGATGCTCACGGACAAAACGGGCGAGTGATGTGTGATGTGACATGCAAGTGTGTGTTTTTCTTCTGTACAGCGGGTTGTTGTGTTGTGTGTTCGTTTCTTTTGTCTATATGTTTTCAATGAGTGGGAAAGAGATGGCTACAACAATAAATAACATGTCGATTTCTAGAGATGGCAAAACAAAACGTTTTCAACTTTTTGTTTTCTCACATTTTCTTTAGATGAATTTAGTTGCTTTAATGGTTTTTAAAGTTTAAAATAACTATAGATTTTTTTATTTAATAAAAATGTGATTGATTATTAATATATTTTTTAAAAATGTATGATATTTGGCACAAAGAGCTGCTGTACTCGTTTCTTTTTTGTGCTCCCACTCGTTATATCTCATTGTTGTGTGTGAAAGCCGAAAACACCCGAAGTTCTTTTTTCTACACTTGCTTAAATGTAGTAAGTGTTGCCATTGTACTAGTTTTTCACGCCCTTTTCTTGTTTGCTCCCAATTTGGGTAAAAATGTTTTGAAAGACAAATTTTTAAATTAAGTTTTAATACAAACTTTGTTTTAAAATTGAAAAAATCAAGTATATATTTGAGAAATATTAGCAAATGTAAACAAAATTAACCATAATTTCGAAAATATTTATATCTTTAAAAATAGACAATGATATTACAGCAGAGTTGTTTTATTTAAAATATCTTTGTCTAAATGCAAATATTGAAAAATATAAATATTTAGAAGAAACAAGTTTCGAAATTAATGAAACACATTTTTGAAACCTACTTTTTAAAACTTCTTAAATTTTGATATACAAAATTAATTTTTTTTTCTTGTTTCTTTTATACAAATATACTCAATTATTTTACAAAATTGTTTGATTTTACAATTTTTATAAAAACTCTTGTATACCTAGAGTTCGCAAAAATATTTCTTGTCAAAATACGTACCAAAATCGCTTGGTTTCCAATAGGCATGTTAGAAAATTCAACCCGTTTTTACCCCCTTTTCGTACTAGAGACCAATGGCAACACTGGCTTCTTTAATGTTTAATCGCATTCGGCTTCAGTCTTCTTCCTAGTTCTGTTGCTGCTCGTTTGCAAAATCAGTTGACTTTTTCGCTACTGCAACATAAACGGACAGAAAATTTGTGTTTTATTGTTGCAAAAAACTTTAAAAAAATTCTTAAAAATCAACAAAAAATCTTAAAAATATATAATTAAAAATCAAAATTAAAGAAAAAACTAAACTATAATACAAAATTAAAACATCTCTTAAAAATGCAATTGATAAAAATGTTTACATAAAAAATATTTCCTTAAAAAAATTACGAAATAATTGTCAATTTTTTCTATAATTTCGATTTTTGGTAAAATAATTTTAAAAAATTTTTTTAATAAAGAAAAAATTAAAACAAAAAAATTTTGTGTGGTGTATGTGCATTAGAAATTTTAAGATACGACGTGAAGAAAAACGAACAACCAAAAAATTTTACAGTCGCCAGTCTGTTTTTCTTTCTTTTTTCAATACTGCTCGCACTCGTTATGTTTAAATGGTGGATTTTTTTTACGAAAAGAAGACCAAGAGCTGTATATGAAAGAGAGTGAGAATGTGTGAGTGCATTAAACGCGTTAGTGTGTGTGTGTGTGAAAATAAGTTAGAGAAGAGAAATTTAACAGCGAGTAAAGGAATATTATAAACAAAAGTAACGAGTTGTGTGTAGAGTAGCTGAAAAAAGTACGAAAAGAAAAGAAAAAGATATTTGTTTTCATCGAAATTTGTTATAATGTTTAAAATGCAATAATCAACAACGAGCGGCTCAATATACCTTTCTTAAAAATATTTCTTTTTTTTTTTGTTCATATTCATAGTTTTTTCATTCGTGTTGTCTTTAACCAACAAACGAAACGAAGTAATAAAAACAAGATAGAAAAAAGCGCGCAACACTTTTTCTTGTGACAAAACTAGACGACAATTGGAATTACATTTGTTTTCATTGTTTTTTCTTTTTGTGATCTTTTTAGATTTTTGTGCAATTTTTAATAAAGATACAAATTTTATAAAGCTAATGGACAAGTATTTAATGTTGAAAAGGCGTAAAAAACATTTAAGAATTAATAATTGAAACATCACATAAAAACTATAAAAAAGAAACATTAATTAATAACAATTTAAAAGAAAACAACAATTTAGAATGTTTATAAAATATACAACAACAACATCAACTTTATATCATGTTATTCTGAAAGAGCAGGTGGTTCATTGTCAGCTTCAACACTGACTGACTGGCGAACCATCCCACTAATGCATCCAGATCTTTAATAACTCTTAACTGAAAAGGATATTAAAAAACGCCGTGAAATGATAAACAAATGATAAAAAATCTAAATTACGGCTTAAAAACAGAAAAAAATAAAAAAGTGAATATTTTGACACAAAATGCACTCAAGCGTATTCATAAATAACGCTTTAAAATATTCGTTGGATAATAATTTTGTCATTAATAATAAACATAAACTGCAAAAAGAACAATATTTTCAAAATCAACAGCAGAGAACGCAACAAAATAAACAAAACTTAAGAAAACAGCAGAAGGGTAGAGCACTTCTGTTGAGAAAACAACAAGAACAGCAACAAATACAAGAACGACGTCGACGTTTGCAACCTTGGCAATTTCAATTCCTGCTCCCACAGATATTTAGATCCAAAACAACAACTTCAACAGCAAAAATAAAATCGGCAATACATGCAGCACTAGCAGCAGCAGCATCAACACGTACAACTTTTAATTTACCAATATCGAGCTAAACAAAAAAAGTTCCTCTCTTGTTTTCTCTCAATAATTCTATGCAAAAGTTGTTCTAAACGTCTACGTCGTTTAATTCAAAATAAAACATACAACAAAATAAAGAAATAAACATTAAAATACTAAAAAAGTGAAATTAACAAAAATAAAACAAAAACACAGCTGGTGTTTAAAATTGCAAAGCAAAATTTGTTTAACAAAATAACGCAAATCACAAACATTCTGAATGATGGCCGATCATATGGAAGAACCGCCGCAGAAGCGGGTAAAAATGGATGATTTGTTTTTATTGGAAGAAAATTTACCCGATGAGTTAGTATCTTCTTGGGCTGATCCAGGTACGGGTGGGCCAAATGGTCCACCCAATCATGGCATGGGTGTAAATGTAGTGGGTGGCCCTAATAAACCGCCGGCACAAGGGCCTGGACCAGGTGGTCCTGGTCCACAATTAAATGGCTCAGTCGATGATGGCAGTGTTGGTAATCAAGGTCCAGGCGCTGGTAATCCCTTAAGACAAATGCAACATCATCAACATTTACAACATCTGCTACAGCAACAGGTATTTTTGATTGATTTTTCTAAACTTTGACATGTTTTTTTACGAAACTGTTTCCTTTTTAGGGTAATAAAAATCCTGGTATGGTTGGTAACCCAATGGGTGCCGGTGGCATGAACCAATTGGGCAGCAAGTCACCCAATCTTCAATCACCTAACACAGGCGGCATGCAAGTCAATGTTGGCCAAATGTGTGGCATGGTAAACTCAATGCCAATGTCAATTTCTAATAATGGCTCACAAATGAATTCAATGCCAGGTAAATGGAATTATAATATTTTGTAGAAGATTAATATTGCTACAATTTCGTATAAGTTTAACATCTTATTAATTTGTGTATAATATTTTGCTTTTTCGCAGGCATGAACACAATTGCTCAAGGTAATATGGGTAATATGGTGCTAACCAATAGTGGTATGGGTGGCATGGGATCGGGTATGATAAAACAACAAATTGGTTCCGGACCAGGTGGTATGATGAATGCTGGACCTGGCGTTGGACCTGTTGGACCCGGTAACATGGGTCCCGGCAGTGTGGGTGGACCCAATCAAGGAATGCATATGGGAGGACCAGGTCATCCACAAGTAATGCAAAATGGACCGATGATGCGAATGGTAGGACAACAGCACATGATACGTGGTCCAAATCCACATCTAATGAGTGGAAATGGTCCCGGCGGCGTTGGTGGTGGTGGTCCACGTATGCAGAATCCCAACATGCAAATGGGTAAGTTATTTTTTATTTTTTTTTTTTTTTTTTGTCACATAACAAATCTTTCTCGTACTATTCTTTGTTGTTAGTAACAAGAAAATGTAAAAAATAAAACTCTAAATAAAAATTTGTAATAGATCTTGAAAGAAAATTGTGATAAAAATTGGAGGAGATAGTGTCCACCTAAACCTAACCTACATCTCGAACAAATAATACACTTATTCATAATAAAAAACTAATTACTAACTAACGAGCTGCTATCTTTCCCTTTTTTACACACCAAAAAGGTCGTTTTTCATTATGAATATGGCCCTAAGTTGTTCGAATTTAAGCTAGAAAAAATTTTAGATCTGTAAAATGTTTGATTCATTGATGTGACCAAGTGCGATTTGTAGATCTGGTTGAGTAGATCACCGTACCATATTTCGGATTTTTAAAATACATACTACGAAAATCGTAAGTTATTCCACAAGCGGAGCTTTTATTGTTGTCCGACAATTTTATTTTTTTTTATGTTAATAGAAATACTAAAGTTATTAAGAACTGAATACATACAATTTTTATCCATTTTTTGAAATGTACAATTTTTACCGACACTTTATTAAGTCCATTTTTGTATTTTGTTGGTTTCTGTATTTAAAAAAACATCATTCACATTTTACTTGGAAGAAATTTGACTAAAAGAAAAAAAGTTATTTAATTTATCGGATTAAAGAATTATGAGTTAAAATTTGTAGGTCCGACAAAAATAAAAAAGTAGATTTTTTTGATAACTCCCGATTTTCAAGATATATTAATTTAAATTGAAAAGTTTGTTTCTATCAACGCGAGTAAATAAACAAATTGTTTAATAGTGAAACCTATCATTTGTTATGATAGTTGACAATGGCGTATATAAAAATGGATAAATTGGACTTTTTACCTTTAATATTTAAATGTTTTTGTAGATAGGGCCTTTTGTTTTCTGTCAATAAAATCGATAATTATGGTCAGAGGAGTCCAATTTTTGGTGTGGACATTTGTTTTGATGCAATACATTAGAATCACCAATAAAATCGATTTTGAATTTTTGGTTAGTTAGGGCCGTTTGCATTTCAGGTGACGATATGGTGTTGTGAACTACTCAACTAGACCTACAAAACTGCACAAGGTCTCGTAGGGAATGAATTATTAACTTTAATAGTTTCGTCACAATTTGTAATTAAAAAATTTTCATGAATTTGTATTTTTACTTTCAATTGCTACAAGATAAACTATGTTTTATATATTCTGTTGATTTTTTTTAAATCGCACTATGATCAATTTGATTTTACACAACAGTGTAAATATTCGTAGAATATAATTGTGATTAAATAAAATATTGTTGAAAATTAAAATTGTGCAGGTCAAATGAATAATATGGTTGGTGGCGGTGTTGGCCCGAATGGACCCTATGGCGGTGGGGTTGGAGTCGGTGTCGGCAACGTTGGTAACTATGGTGGACCAGGAGGTCCTCAGGGCGGTATTAATGTAAACGCCAATAATCCACAACAACAAATGTTAGCACAACAAATGGCAGCACAACATGGAGGTGTACCACCAAATATGACGGCTGCTATGCAACAGGGCAACCGTGGACCTGGCGGTGTTCCCATCGGTATGGGTGGTGGAGGCGTCGGCGGTGATGGCAGTGGTGCTGGTTTAATCAGCGGTCCTCAGCAACAAATGAACAACGCTCAAATGAATCCTAACCAACAGCAAAACCCACAAGGCGGCTTAATGGGTCCTGGCGGTATGGGTATTCGACCACCACAGGGTGGTGTGGGACCAGGCGGTCCGCAACAAAACGCTATGATGCTTCCGCAACAGCAGCAACAACAACAGCAACAAGGTCCAGGAACTTCTCAGCAGGGAGGTAATGCTGGTGGTGGAGCAGCAGGAGGAAGCGGTACGGGCGGTACAACCAATCAACATATCACGGATGAGCGCAAAAAACAAATCCAACAACAACTTATGTTGTTACTTCACGCCCATAAGTGTAACCGACGCGATAGTATCAACCCGAATCGTGAGAAATGTAATGTTCCGTATTGTAAGCCAATGCAGGATGTTTTAACGCACATGGCAACGTGCAAACAGAGCCGAGACTGCACTGTCCAACACTGTATATCGTCACGTCAAATTTTGTTGCATTACAAAACGTGTTCACGTCCGGATTGCGTAATCTGTTTCCCATTCCGTCAGAGTCACGCATACCAGAACAATAATCCAAATGCAAGCGGAGCTGGTAATGCTGGCCCGAACAATGCCAATCAACAACAACAACAGCAACAAGGCCAACAAAACGCTAATGACAAACAAGGTCCTGGAGTTATTGGTCCCCAGCACGTGGGCGGACCGCAACAGACAGGTGGTGTGCAACAAGTTGGTGGTGCTCCAAATGTTGTTGCAGGAGGAGCGGGAATGTCTGGTCCGGGAGTTGGTCCCAATCAGGGTCAAATGAATATGAAAGCCAACACAGATATTAATCAACAAATGCAAAATGCCGGCCAAAATCCGAATCAGGAAATTCGCCGTTTCGACAGCATGGGAATGCAAGGTGCTGTAGGAAACACCGGTGGTCCCAATAACATGCTGCAAGGCAATTCTGTAAATCCTCAACAACAGCAAATGCAAGGTATTCGGATGGCAGGTGTACCACAACCAGTACGTGTTATGTCCGCTCAAGTGGGGGCTCCTGGCGGAGGTGTTCCCATTGGACCTACATCCGGTGGTAATAGTGATCAAGTCGCCATGCGCCAAGTTGTAAACAATTTACTAATAAGTGGTAGCGGTAATGGCGCTGTTCCAGATGGTATTCAAAATCAGCAACAACAACAGCAGCAACAAATGATGTTGCAGAATGCAGGACCACGACTCACACCTCGACTATCCGATTTACTAAAACCGGGGGCAAAACTACCGACAGATCCCAATCAAGTTCAGCAAAATGCTGTAAATCAACAGCAGCAGCAACAATCGAACATTCCCCTATCGGTTAATGTACATAATAATTTTAACAATGCTAATTTAAATACGCTTTTGGGAGGTGGAAATTCTGGTGATATGGGCGGCCCTGTTGCTGGTGGACCACCAAACAAACAGTTAACACCGCAAGAAATGGCTAAAATGAAAATGCAGGTCCAGGCTGGAGGTGTTAATAGCGGTCCGAACAATACTCCACCAAACAATGTGTCGGCGGCAGGAAACACCAACACTCCAGGCGTTATGAGTGGAGCAGTGTCGAATGTAGCGGGAAATAATGCTGTATCCGGCGGTGTTTCAGCGAATGCTCAGAATGCAGGTGCTCCTGGAGGCAGTGGCGGTAATAATGGTGGAAGTGAAGAAAACAAAGATTGGCGAGAACTCGTTACGGATGACCTTCGCAAACATTTGGTACACAAACTTGTTCAAGCAATATTTCCTACATCTGACCCAGCTACAATGCTAGACAAACGCATGCACAACCTCGTCTCGTATGCGGAAAAAGTTGAGAGAGACATGTATGAAATGGCCAAATCGCGATCAGAGTATTATCATCTACTGGCTGAAAAGATCTATAAAATCCAAAAGGAATTGGAAGAGAAACGTCTGAAAAGGAAAGAGCAGCAGATGCTTCAAATGCAACAACAGCAACAGGGTGGTGGTGCTGGTGGAGCCGGTCCCAGTAATGTAGGCGGAGCTGGTGGTGGAGGTGTGGGTTTACCGGTTGGAGGTCAGCAATTACCTCCAGGACATCCACAAGCGCAACAGCAGCTACAGCAACAGATAAGACCCATGGTAAGTCCCATGGGTGGAGCTGTTGGTCCGGGCGGACCTGGTCCAAACCAAGGAATGCCAATGGGTGCAGCAGGCATGATGCAGCAACTAAGAGGCCAAACACCTGGCAATGTAGGTGGTATGATGCCCGGTCAAAATATGGCCGGCATGCGTAGTCACTCTCCCGGTGGAAATATTCTGGCATTACAACAGCAACAACAACGAATGCAATTCCCTCAACAACAAGGCAACATGCTAGTTGGTCCACCTGGTCCTAGTCCTGGCGGCAATAGTATGAGCAGTGGCGGCATACCAACATCACAGCAAAACATGGTGGTACCAAACCCAGTTCTTTCTCCATTTACTGGTCAAGCGATGCAAGGTCAACCCGGAACAGGCGGTGTTGCAGGAGTTTTAACAAGCCCAATACCGGGTCAACAACAGCAGTTCATGAATTCCAATGGAGGAACGGGGGCGCATACCACGCAGCAACTGAATGAGATAATGAAGCAACGAATGCTGCAACAGCAACAGCAGCAGCAGCAACAACAGCAGCAAAGTGGAATGCTTTTGCCTCAATCTCCATTCAATAATAGCAACTCCCAAATGCAACAACAGAATACCTTCACATCACCAATGTCCCAGCAGCAGCAACAACAACAGCAGCAGAAACAAAATATGATGTCGACTGCCGGCATGGGAAATATGCCTCCAACACCAACAAGTTTAGAGTCGCTAACAGCAGCTAGTGCGGCGGGACCAACTGGGGTAACAAATAGTACAGCATCCGCAACAGTAGGTGCCGCAGGCGGCATGGTAGCGGCACCAAGTCCATCGCCTAACTTTGCATCAAACGGACCGCTAGGAACGCCCTTAAATAATCCGCCTTCAGTTCCGTCTCTCATGCAATCTCTTGGTGATCGAGGAAGTACACCACCCTTGAATCCTACATCTCCCGCCTCTGCAAATACTGTGCCCACAGGAGTTTCTGGTGCAGGTGGCTCTGGCAGTGGAGTACAACCACCACCACCCACATCAACACCCACGTCTGTATCAACATGTTCGTCGACTGGCTCAACTTCAACAACCACCACAACTACAACAGCGTCATCATCATCAACTTCATCCTCAACATCTACTACCTCTATAACAGCAACATCGGGAGCAGTAACAGTCACATCGTCATCAATGGCGTTGTCTTCGTCAGCCGAAGCAAGTGTTTCTAGCAACGGCCTTGCACAAAATCAACAACAAATGTCTACTATGGGTAAGGGAAGTGCTGGAACAACTTCTACCTCAACTACCAGTACATCGTTGTCGTCGACACGTCCCTCAACCAGCAGCAGTAATAGTCTTTCATCGCAAATGGCAGCTCTCGAGGCAGCGGCTCGTGATAATGATGACGATCCTCCTACATCTCCGAATGGGGACTCTCAAAATGCAGGTGGTGGAAAATCTTCCAAAGGCAAGTTGGATTCCATTAAACAAGAAGATGATATTAAGAAAGAGTTCATGGATGATGGTAGTGGAGGTGATAACTCGCAACAAGAATCTTCAGCGGGCGTTGGCAAAAATGTTAATAACGATGGCACTGCCAAATTAGAAATAAAAAGCGAGGACGGTGACGTAAAGATTAAAACCGAACCAATGGAAGTTGAAGATTCTAATGCAAATGCGGGCGGTACAGATTCCGCAATGAGTTCATCAGGAGGTGATAATAAAGATAATATTAAACCGATGACGGATGGCAGCAATGCTAGTGGAGATGTTAAAGTAAAAACTGAAACTAAACCTGTTGTACCAGAGCCCCTTATGCCTAATGCTGGTGATAAAAAGAAGAAATGTGGTAAGTGGTTTGGAAATATTTTTCCATTTTGCCAATGAATACTGTTAAGGCTTTCTATTGGCAAAATTTAAATTAGTTAACAATGTTTTGGAGAAAATAAAAAAAAAATATTTGATTTTTTAACAGTTTTTGACCCTGAAGAACTGAAACAAGCTTTATTACCGACATTGGAAAAACTCATACGACATGAGCCCGAATCAGTGCCATTCCGTTGTCCAGTTGACCCACAAGTACTCGGTATTCCTGACTACTTTGAGATTATTAAAAAGCCTATGGATTTAGGATCAATACGCAACAACCTTATGAATGGAAAATACAATGACCCTTGGGAATATGTTGACGATGTCTGGTTAATGTTTGACAATGCATGGTTATATAATCGTAAATCATCAAAAGTTTACAAATATTGTACAAAGGTAAGTAGTCGTGTCGTGTATTCCAACTAAAGTACAAAAAGTTTTTTTGTTTTATATTATTGTCACTTTATAATAATGTGTGCTTTTTTTTCTTTAGCTTTCTGAAGTATTTGAACAAGAAATAGATCCTGTTATGCAGGCTTTGGGCTATTGTTGTGGGCGCAAATACACATTTAATCCTCAAGTGTTATGCTGTTATGGTAAACAGCTATGTACTATACCTAGAGATGCCAAATACTACAGTTATCAAAATAGGTATGTAATATTTTATCATTTAGTTTTTTTAGCATTTTCTCATTAAACTCAATATTCTATAGATCTTTGTGTTTAGATTTTTAACAATCGATATCATTGGTCTTTTATGTAGTCAAAAAATAACCATTACTTATTATTAACACATAATAAATTAAAAAACAATTAGCTTGTATATAAACCAATTAAAAATACCTTTAATATTTTTGTATTAAATTCTAATGCCAACCTTGTTTTTTATTTTCTTTTCTATACTTGCAAATGTCAAAAAACTTAAATCAATACATCCTGGTTATGGTTTTTGTGTGCGTCTTTTTTTTTTTTTTTTGAACTCCTTAAATTACCACAATCCCTATGTTGACAACCATCAATCAAACCTTTTCAATCCTTACAAATTAATTTATCTTTAAATATAAAAATCTACAAAAACACATGTCAAATAATATTTTTAACTTGTCATAAATGTTAATTTCTTTAATTTGCTTTGCTATTTCTGTTTTAACTATCGAATCATACATACGTTTGTATTATTTACGAAAATGCTTTACGTTGTACTTTTTTTACATTTCCCCACATATTTAAACATAACAAACATTATTTTCCCTTCCATCATCTAAAAAACTACTCCAAACATAAAATCCCAAAACAAAATAAACCACATTTGTTCAATAAAATGTCTACAAAAATCGTTCGCACGCACAAAAACACTGTATAACAAAATAATTCTTCATTCACCATAATAATAAAATAAAAAAATATCAAATTAAAAACGTCGCTAAATTTACAATATTATGTATGGTCGCTCTGCTTGTTTATATTTATTAATTTGGATTGCGATCACTCTTTGACAATCAATACAAATTATTTAATCAATTGAATTGAAACACAACATACACAAAAATAAAAACCAATCAAAATCTTATAATGAACCAAATAATAGTCTAAAGGATTATGGCGTATCCTCAAACAGATATACCTTCTGCCAGAAATGTTTCAATGACATTCAAGGGGACACTGTTACTCTCGGTGATGATCCATTGCAATCTCAAACGTAAGTATTATTATTCATATTTTATTTAACTTAATTTATAGAGCCACTTGTTTTAAGTAAGATATAAAAGGATTTTATCAAGAATTGTTGTCGAATATTTTTACAAGTTTTTATTAGGATTTATAAAAACATTCAACAACAATTCATGATTATTTTAACACATCTATATTGTATAGAGAGATCGATTTAACGAAGTTCGTCTGTCTGTATGTTTAAATAAATTTTCTGGGAGGTCTAAATATTTTCAGTTTCCAAATATTTTATATTTGTACCAGCCCGGAGAAGTTTTCTATTTAAAATTAGAAAAAAACGATTAATAAACAACGGCGATATGAATAAAATTTTAAGATAACCCATGATTTTTCTATAATTTTCAATATACATGCATATTTTAAATGCTACGTTGCATAAATCGGCGATATATTATCGTTTATATTGAGGATATTTATTAGTCTAGTTAATTAGTTAGTTTAAAAGGATGTTGTATGTTACATCAAATCCGAAAAAATACACCTAGAAATCCATAGGGCTTGATGTGCTCTCCTTTCCGAAAAATACACAATCACGAAAAATGTCAATATTAACCCAAAAATATTGCTACTGACGATATATAGAAAAATACAACTACACAATCTGCTAAAAAATAATAGCAATTCCGAAAAAGTAAAAAATGGTTTCTATCTAGTATCGTCTGGAATTACCTAGGGTTCGAAAGACGCTTTAAAAAATATAAAATGTTATTGATAACGACCACTTTTTTTGTTCTAAATCGATTTTCGATCTTTTATTGTATCTGGGACGAAGCCTTTTGTATATGGTTATAATCGAACCATTATTTCACCTAGCCCTCATACCATTGAACCCCTCACTGCAAAAGATTTTTGCAGTGATCGGGCTTTATTTGACAATATCCGCCGCCATACAAAGCCCCCTCTGAAAATGACTGAAATGTCGCTTGAAAAGACTAATATCTAATAAATATATTTGCTATAAACGTAAATGCATCCACCAAATTTTTTGAGAATCAATCCATATTTTCCCCTTTTATAAAATGAGTTTTTTGTATGCAAATTATACATATTTCATTATAAGTGATAATGGAAGATCTTGAACGCATGTGAAGACTGAATTTTTCCTAAAACAGCTTTCACACATGAAAAATTAATATACACATGAATACTCAATTTTTCATAAACAGCTAATGTTCCCATTTAAAAAGAATTCGATTTTAAAAGAACAAATTCAGTATTTATTATATGTTGCCAATACTGGTATGAATAGAAAGTTGAGAATCTAAAAAGTGAATATAACATATTTTCAGTTTGTAATAAATTTAAACCTAATTATACTAAGAACAATAATAAGATAAATATAAAATATACAAATAAGAACATTGAACATATAAAAATGTCTTGTCACTAGATTTTTTATTTCAAAAGATTCCTGTGAAATAAAAAAAGGCCAAATACAAATTATATTTTATTCTATTACTTTGTGTGTTTAGAGAATTAAGTAATATTAGAGAGATAAATTTCTTAAAAATTAATGTTAGTTAATCAAATCTTTTTAAATAATAATGTTTAAATATTTAAATTTGTAATTTCGCAAAATAATGTTTTTAATGAATTTTGCTTTTCTCCCTCTTTTGTTTGAATTGACAAAAAATAGTCAAATTAAAAAGGATCAATTTAAAGAGATGAAAAATGATCATCTAGAACTAGAACCATTTGTTGATTGCATGGAATGTGGTCGAAAGCAACATCAAATTTGTGTTTTATGGTTGGATTCAATATGGCCAGGTGGTTTTGTTTGTGACAATTGTTTGCAAAAGAAAGATTCCAAACGAAAAGAAAATAAATTCAATGCCAAACGTTTACCCACAACAAAACTGGGTATTTATATAGAGACGCGTGTAAATAATTTCCTTAAGAAGAAAGAAGCTGGTGCTGGTGAAGTTCATATACGTGTGGTATCCTCATCGGATAAGTGTGTAGAAGTGAAACCTGGTATGCGCAGAAGATTTGTTGAAAATGCCGAAATGAACGCGGAATTCCCCTACAGAGCCAAAGCATTATTTGCCTTTGAAGAGGTCGACGGTATAGATGTATGTTTCTTTGGTATGCATGTGCAAGAGTATGGATCAGAATGTCCGGCTCCGAATACAAGGCGTGTTTACATTGCCTATTTGGATTCTGTGCATTTCTTTAGACCAAGACAATATCGTACAGCAGTATATCACGAAATTCTATTGGGTTATATGGATTATGTTAAACAACTAGGTTATACAATGGCCCATATTTGGGCGTGTCCACCGTCGGAAGGCGATGATTACATATTCCACTGCCATCCTACGGATCAAAGAATACCAAAACCCAAACGCTTGCAGGAATGGTATAAAAAGATGTTGGATAAGGGTATGATTGAACGTACCATTCAGGATTACAAAGATATCTTGAAACAAGCCATTGAAGACAAATTAACATCAGCTGCCGAATTGCCTTACTTCGAAGGTGATTTTTGGCCCAATGTTCTAGAGGAGAGCATAAAAGAGTTGGACCAGGAAGAAGAGGAAAAACGAAAACAAGCAGAAGCCGCTGAAGCAGCAGCAGCTGCTGCCGCAAATGTACGTACAAAAGTAGAAAATAAGGTTAGTCGTTTATTATAATCGATCAATTTCTTTTCTTCAGATTTTCTCAATGGAAGACACCGAAGTGAGTGGTGATGGTAAAAAGAAAGGACAAAAGAAGGCTAAAAAATCCAACAAGTCTAAAGCTGCACAACGTAAAAGCAATAAAAAATCGAATGAACAACAAGCTGGCAATGATCTCTCTGCTAAAATATATGCCACAATGGAGAAACACAAAGAAGTATTCTTTGTTATACGTCTTCACTCTGCACAATCTGCAGCCAGTTTAGCGGTACGTAACAATCAATATATAACAACATTTGTTTCATTATTTAATAAAATAATTGTCATCCTTTTCCTCATTTGCAGCCCATACAAGATCCTGATCCATTATTAGCGTGTGATCTTATGGATGGTCGTGATGCATTCCTTACCTTGGCTCGTGACAAGCACTATGAATTCTCATCCTTGCGGAGAGCTCAATTTTCGACTTTATGCATGTTGTACGAGTTACATAATCAAGGCCAAGATAAATTTGTTTACACTTGCAACAATTGTAAAACTGCTGTGGAAACTCGTTTCCATTGTACAGTTTGTGATGTAAGTTTGAGAGAGAAGGAGAAGAACAGCAAAATAGTCCAATACAACTTTAATAATAATTTTCTTTTTTTACTTATACCTTTAGGACTTTGATTTGTGTACTTTGTGTAACGAAAAGATTGGTCATCCACATAAAATGGAAAAACTTGGTTTCGATTTGGATGACGGTTCTTCACCAGCCGACCATAAACAAGCTAATCCACAAGAAGCTCGCAAGCAATCAATACAACGTTGTATTCAATCATTGGTACATGCATGTCAATGTCGCGATGCCAATTGTCGTCTACCTTCTTGTCAGAAGATGAAGAGGGTGGTGCAACATACCAAAAACTGCAAGAGGAAAACCAATGGTGGTTGTCCTATATGTAAACAGTTGATTGCTTTATGTTGCTATCATGCCAAACATTGTCAAGAACAAAAGTGTCCAGTGCCTTTCTGTCCCAACATCAAACACAAACTCAAACAACAACAATTACAACAAAAGTATGTCTAAATAGTACTTTTATGAAATGAATGTAATCTATTCTAATTCACTATTTTCAGATTGCAACAACAGCAACTATTACGGCGTCGTGTGGCTCTTATGTCTCGCACTGTTACCACCCCCGCAGCTTTACCAGGCCCAGCTGGTGCTGGTCCTGTTGTAGGTCCTGGCGGTGTACCAGTAGCGGCTGTAGCCTTGCCAGGCGTTGGTGTAAATCCTCCTGTGATGGGTGGACAACCAGCTATAATGCCAGCGGGAGCAGGTGCTATGAGTCCATCAACGGTACCGGTACCCTCACCAGTGGCTGCACCAATAGCAGGAGGAGGTATGACATCTCCACATCCTCATCAGCCTGGCATTGGCATGAAACCCGGTGGTGGTCATTCACCTTCTCCTAATGTACTGCAAGTTGTTAAACAGGTAAGTTTTTCGAACACAGAGGCAGTTATAAGTCTTATAATTTTATGAGGTTCGAAGACTGGAGTTTTAATGTTTTGTTTAAATTAATATTAAGGTTCAGGAAGAAGCTGCGCGTCAACAAGTCCCTCATGGTGGCGGTTTTGGTAAGGGTGGTGCTATGGCTCCACCGGTTATGCAACGTCATCATATGGCTGGATTACCGAACCAACCAAATCCTGGAATGGTAGGAAATGTTGGTAATGTTAGTGGTGTTGGCAATGTCGGACAGATGGGCCCCGGTGGAAGCAATGTTATGCTCAACAATCTGCTGCCAATGGATCAGTGGGGTGCAAATCGATATCCGAACAATGCTAATCAAGGCATGCGCCAACCTAATCAAAATCAAGTTATGCAACAAAACGCAATGCAGCAACAGGTATGTATAGCCAACTCTTTAGAACGTCGACCACCATCTGTTTAATAATTCTTTATAAATTAATTTATTTTTTATTAATTAATCTCAATTATTTTATTTTTACTTACAGAATATGATGGGTGGCATGGTAGGAGCTGGAGGTTCGCAACAAATGCCCGGTGGTACTGGAAATATGCCCGGTAATACACAGGGTGTTGGCGGTATGAGTGGTAATGGAGGCATGGTTCCTATGGGTGCATCGGGACCCATGGGTGGTCCCGGAGGCATACGTCCCCAGGGACAACATCCAAATGCAGGCGGTGTTGGTGGTTCGGGTCAAATGCCCAATGGACCATTGAACGCTCAATTAAATACTCAACAGCTTGCTCAAATCATGCAGAAAATCAAAAATAATCCCACCAATGAAGGTCACCAACAAATCCTACAAGTTCTAAAACAAAATCCACAAATAATGGCTGCTATTATTAAACAAAGGCAACAGAGTCAAAATAACAATGCTGGTCAACAAGGAGGTGGAAGTGGTGGTGCTGCCGGAAATGGTCCTCAACAACAACAGCAGCAACAGCAACAACAACAGGTTATGCAACAGCAACAACAACAACAGCAAATGCAACATATGATGAATCAGCAACAAATGCCTCAAACCAATCAACAGCAAGTAATGATGCAAGCCCAACAACAAAATCCTGGTCAACATCAACGCATGCCAGGAATGCAAAATCCAATGATGATGCAACAACAGCAACAAGGACAAGTAAGTGCTTTTATTCCTAATAATAAATAAATGACATCAAATTGATAAATACACCCAAATATAATTCATTCTATAATTTATTTGATACAAATTTTCACAAAAGTAAAAACACCTGTAAATGCAACTCCAAATTTTGTATTTGTCTCCCTCCCGTCGGATAATTGTTATTTCATATTTTGTTATTGTTGTAATTTTCAAAACAATCTAGGCCTCCAACTCACAATGGTTTAAAATGCAGATGCGTCAAATGCCTAATTATCCACCACCATATAGACAGCGTGCCCCACAACAGATGGGTGGAGTTGGTACTGGTGGTCAGCAGTTTGGTGGTGTCGGAGGCTTTGGTGGAGCAGGTGGAGGTGTAGGAGGTCCCCCTGGCAACCCAGTCGATCAGTATGCGGTTATGCAACAGGGACTGAAACCTTCACCACAACAGCAGATGGGAGGTGGTATGCCTGGAGTTCAGCAACAGCAGATGATGCAAGGAGGCGGTGGCATGGTAGGCGGACCAAATGTTATGGGACCACCCACGCCACACACGCTGCAACAACAACTCATGCAATCGTCTAGATCATCACCGCCCATTAGATCACCACAACCCACGCCCTCACCTCGCTCGGCACCCTCGCCTAGAGCTGGTCCCTCAGCTTCTCCAAGAGCACAACCATCTCCGCACCATGTAATGAGCCACTCACCTGCGCCTCAAGCACCTCATGACGGTTTACACAATCATGGAGGTATGCACCCACATCAATCACCATTGCCAGGCGTTCCGCAAGATGTCGGCGTAGGTGGTGTTGGAGGAGTGGGTGGCGTAGTCGGTGGTCCCGGAGGCCCTGTCTCTGATGCATCCGATCAACTGACCAAATTTGTAGAACAACTTTAGTGTAATTAGCTAATGGCAGCGGCTCAAGCCTTCCAATCACCTCCCCAACCCCAACCTCCTCCATCTCCCCATAGCAGCCGCTTTAATATAAATCATCAACAACACCGATATTTTTAGAAACGACCCAACTACCCAACCAACCAACTACTTATTTCTGTAAAAATACTACACAAAACTAAAATATTCAATTAATACAATGACATTTTAAAACAAATTTTGTTTTCACTTAAAAATTTTGTTAAGATCATCAATTCTCTTAGAAAGAAAAGTTTTAATTGTTTCACTCACATTTCCCTTATTTTTTGTTCAACATTTTTTGTTTGCGTAATTTAAGTTTCATACTATAACATTTAAAATGTTTTTATGATTATAATAATTTTTAATACAATTAAAAAGTTGGAAAAAGTAATTTTTTTTGTTTATTATAAAAATTTCCATAGTGGTTTCAGTTCTCATGCTTTTCCACACATTATTATATTTTTTTATTAATTTGGTTTTGTTTTAATATTAAATGATAAAAAATCTTCCTTCCAAACGTAATTTTATAAATAGTTATACATTGTTTTCTTTAGTTTTCACCAAATGAATACTATTAATAATTAAATGGCTTATAAATATTAAAATTAAACAAACACATTATTCATCTATAAAACAATACAATACAACAATATAAATAAAACAATATACATACATAAACGCCTCTAGCTTTAGTAAACAAAATAATTTTTAATAAACTAAAATATTAATTAAAATGTAAGTTTTAGATTCTAGGCATTTTATACTTTTCTCTATATATAGTATATTATTATTATTATTTATAAATCATAAGACGAAAATGTTTATTTTTAGCACTTTGAGCTATACATATTAAAAACAAAAAAAAAAAACTAAAAAAAAACAATAACAAATTGAAAATAACTTGTAATAATTATAATTTAATGATTATAGAGAAGAAAATATGCTAGTAATATGATAATTAATATACGTGTATTTAAAATAAATTGATTAATATAAACAGCTTTTAAGTAATTTAATTAAACCTCCTCCTACCTTCTTACTTCCTTCCTTTCCTCCTTATAGATTTGTTAAAATGAAAAAAGAAACGTTTAAAATTATTTTGTAAATATCATTTTTGTTTTACTTTAAGACAATTAATGTTAAATATATAAATACATAAATACAACAAAACTAAAAATGACAAAAAAAATAATTTCATAAAAAAATCTCGTAAAAAAGTTAAAAAAATAACACTAACTATTAAAATAAAAAAAGAGACAACAAAACCATATAATATTTAACATATACATACATATTCAAATCCAACAATAATATAAACATAATAGTTTACATATTACATATTAAACAGCAGATTTAACTTAAGCAAAAAGTTTGCAACTAAACGCATGTCACATTACATGAAAAGTTACCCTGTGAAGTTTTTAAGTACTTACCGAGTTCTATTCTATTCTTTTTCTAAACTAATTTATTAATTGAAATCATATTAAAAAAACAGAAACAGAAATTGTTTGAAATTTTTAAGTTTGCTAAACATTTTATAAAAGAAAAGATTTTTATTAATATTAAACAAGTTTTAAAATTTACAAAATTATATTAAAAATTTCAAAATGATTTTAATCAACTAGTTTTGCTAACTAATGTTAACAATACAATTTCAATGGCATTCTTAACAGGGAACAGACTATTTGTAAACATGACAATTATCCAAACAAAATCCGCAACTCTCATTTGTCTACATATGTCTCCATCATTGTGTATTTAACCCTTAATGAAAAACAAACTGCCGTGTTTTAATTTTGTACATTAGTAGTTATAAATAAAAACAAAAATAACAACAACACACACTACATTCTACGGATATATTAAATAAAATAAAAAAAAAAAAAAAACAAAGAAAGCCGCCCAGTCTTTGTTTATAGTGTAAAGTTTTTTTTATATAAATATTTACTAAATACTATAACAACAAAAAAAAACATATAGTTATTAATATAAATAAATTTGCCTTAACTTTTAAAGATCACTTACAAATAATGTAAATATTAATACTTAAACAACAGGAAATATTAAAATAAATATCTTTAAAATTTAAAGCCGCCTTTTAAAGAATTTGTTTTAATAGTAATTTTTTCGTTGTTTTTTTAATGAAAAAGAAAAAGTCATCAAAATCCTTAAAAAACCTCTTTTATAAAAAAGAAATTGTAAATATTAGTATTTAAAATATAAAATAAATTAAAAAATATTCCAAAACTGTTTTGTGATTAAAATTTAAAACAAAAAATTTTAAATGAATTTAAGTTTAAAGTATTTTTTATTATTATTATTATATTTATAAAACTTTTTTATATAATGTAATTTAAACGCTATACATATATACAGTTATTTTTTTAAACGTTGCAGTCTTAGTTTATTTTTATTTTTTTTTTGTCTTGTCTGTTTAATTTATAAAATATAGTTGCACTTTTAAATTAAAAATAATAATAATAATAATAATTTTAGTTTCTTTTTAAGTCACTGAATGAAAATATAATATAGATATTTATCAAATAAATGTAGCTGTAAAAAAAATAAGTGTTAAAATTTTATGAACTAAGAGAGAATAAACTATAACAACAATTTATTTGAAACAACCGCCGCCCATGTTTTAAGTAAAATGTTGTTATAAATTATTCCACAAGAGAATGTGTAGATATTTTTAATAAACATTTCAAAATGTATGTATATTTATAAGAAAACAAAAAACAAGATTTTTAAAAATATCTGATAATTTAAATTGATTTATATCTTTTTTTTTTTTTTTTTTCTTTCATATTTAAATAATATATATATTTGGTTTTATTGTGAAAAATCAACTATACTCACATTTATTTAATAATAATAGTCTACAACAAATAAAAAAGATACATTTAAAAACCTATTCTCAAAAAGTAAAATAAAACAACATAATTTAATTAAATTAATAAATACTATCACATTTTTTATACACGATTGAATAAATAATGAATGTGTGTGTATGTGCATGTAACCTGCATTAACAAAATATCCATAAAAAAAAAGTAATTTTCATCGTTATAATTGTATGTATGTATACAATAAAGGATAAAATAAAAACTTAATTAAAACAAATAATAAAAATTTCACGTAATTTAGTAATGTGTAGATGAATAACTAAAAAAAAAACAAAACAAAAACGTAATAAGAGATCATAATCAAGTTAATGCATTGCATTCACTTTTAGTAAGAAAAAAAAACAGCATTATTTGTATATTATATAATAAAAAAATCGTTTATAAAATAATATTTAATTAAAAGAATAATAATAAAAAAAGATAATAATAATAATATTATACTGTACAAGAAAAATTAATTTAAAAATACGTATGAAAATAATTTAAAATAAAAAAAAATAATAAAAAATTATTACGTGTTTTAATGTTAAAATTCTAAAGGTACGTTCACATCTATAAAATATTTAATGAAAAATAGAATTATTTAAAAAATTGATCTCCCCTATAGTCTGCATTTCGATAACGTTTTCGCATTCAGTTACAAAACCATCGAAAAGAGGATATTCCAAAAAAATAACGTAATCATAAGAAATAGAAGACGTAATTTCATTTCGTAACTACCTTTTCGAAAGTTATTAGTTTTAGTGACCGAGCTTCGAAACGAAATGCAGAATATCAAGTTGTTAAACGAAGAAATTTTGATACTATTAGGAATACAGAATAGAAGAGATAAGATCTAGAAAACATTTATAAAAAAATATTGGTTACGACATTTATCAGGTATGTCACGCATTTCGATCGGAATGGTTTCAATTCCGTATTATTATTCCGATACGAACTTCTCCAAATTACGAATTATGTTGTTAGTTGAAGAAAAATTAAATTATATAGATTTCATATAAATCGATTCTGTTTAGCTTATCAAAACCAGAATTATATTTCAATTCCACTTTAAAAACTGATAGTGGTTTCATTTCGAATGAATTTTTCGTTTTCGGAAGAAGCAAAAATACGAAAATAATTCCACTTTTGAACGAAATAGAATTCTGTGACAGGCCTGTATATTAAAATATTTGATCGATGTGAACGTACCTTAATAGAATTATTAGAATTAAAAACGTCGAGATTTATGTTTTTGGATAATCGTAGATAATATCATGTAACTTTTTTGAAATGATAACACAGTCCAACAAATTATAATATTCACCCCTATTCTGCATTTCGATTACGTTTCCGCATTCAGTTACGCTACGATCGAAAATTGGTATTCCAACAAAAAACGGAATCGTAAGAAAAAGAAGAAGCAATACCATTTTATTTCAATGCTTTACAATTATGTGTATTCTGCATTACGATCGTAACTACGTTTTTCTAAGTTGTTATTTTAGTGACGGAGCTTCGAATCAAAATGCAGAATACCAAAGTTCGAATTGAAATGCAGAATAGGAGTGATTATGTTTAATGTTAAGTTAAATCTTTTTTCATTCCGTTTGTAATTTCAGCATTTCGAATACGTTTCCCCACCCTATAAAGTATATGTACTCTGAATACTTATGGACAGCAAAGGCGATTTAGCGAAGTTCGTATGTTTGCTGAAAAGAATTTTCTGAAGACCCCTGATATCTTTGAAAACAAAATCCTCAATAATTCTTACAAAATTAAACAAGAATCACTGATTAAATTATTGTTTCCAGAACATTGCCGTAGAATGATTATCGACACCATATCGCATCCACAGTACCAGTACCATTGACCTATACTCCAAATTACAGGCCAAATTATTGTTCGTAATATTCCTTTTTGGAAAATCACGCCTGTGCCATTTCTTCTTAACAATTTCAAAGAAATGTCGCTGAAAAATGAATTGATTCAGGACAGTTCTAAGAAAGTTGTATAAAGCATCCTTCGAGTATAACAAAATTGACCAAATATCAATGATTGAGGAACTATTTTCATATTATTGACACCATATCGCATCCACAGCACCAGATCCGAAGACGACAAATTCCAACGAATATCATTGATCTCAAATCCAAACTATAGGTTAAATTAGCACAAATAAAATTCATGACCAAGTAAAATTCATCATATTTTTCCTTTTTGAGACGATGTGGACTATAATTTAGGAGATATATATATATACAGGAATTCTTGGATTATAACTGCGAAAAATATATACGCATTTTTATATGTGATTTAGATGTCGTTTTAAAAGTATGACTTCCATTATTTTTGCTGGATAGTTGTGGAGCTAATACTATTTTTCTGGAAAATTATGGTAAATCATTTTTCATTTTGTACAATATATTAATGATTTATACCTCCTTATTTGCGTCATATATTAAAAACTGTAACATATTTCGTTTAAAAACTTAAAGATTATTGTCTTATCTTGATGAAATAGTCTATAATAGTTATAACACTAATGTGTTTTCCTAGCTATAAAACAATTCGTGACTTTCACCTCTTTCTTTGGCATTAACCACTCTTCAATCCCTTGAACAATTTATAGTTATCTTTTTCATCGACAAAATTCTGATTTTGCCAATAATAATAATAATAAAATCAAGTAGCGTTGTTATCAAATTAACTTATAAAATTAAAAAAACACTAATGATATACCATATATGAAATGTTTTTGTAATTTTAAATCCAAAAGTTTATATTTTATTGATAATGAAAATATTTTAGTATAGTAACTAATATAAAAATAAAATTACTTATCTAAAAACAATATTATGCAAAAAATAGAATGAAAAAAACTCCGTTTAAAGTCCAATATTTCTAGGCAGTATTATTTACAGAAATAAATAATATTTTATAATCAATACATCTATTGAATTGGTCGAAATAAACATATTTAAATAAAATTGTCGAAAATAATGCTGAGAAATATTTCGCCTTGGGTGGTAAAAAGAAATGTGTGTTATCATAGGTGGAGAAGTCATAAATTAATTCAATTATACTATATAATGTTTATTTGTGAATATCCGGTCAAATTTGAAGTACATATTTGAATAGTATGTAGTAGTTATATTAATCTTTTCATGATGCAAGTCACATAATACTACACTAGTATGTTTGTATACTGGTGGCTTACTCCATAATTCGTTTATATTAATGTTTTCTATTCGAGATTGTGTTCATAACACCTCTTTGTGATCTGGTGCTATTTTACCAGACTAGAATGATAATTTTCTCCAAAAGAAATTATGTACTAAACTTTTAATCGGTTTTCTAGTTGTTATTATATGTTTCATCTCAAAAGAAAATTACGATCAGTGGCCCAATTGCTATCATATCGAAACTAATACTTTTTTTTGAATGCCGTTATCTCAAAACGAAAAATCGATTTTACTCGATTATTAATACTACAACTTGCTCCAGATACGATGTGTATTTTTGATAAATATTTATTTGGGATAACAATACCATTTATAATTATTAAAAAAACTATGGAATATTTAATATGCACAACCATTGAGTAATATCTACATTATTGGGATTATTTGTGGAAAATTTTAATCGTAATGTGGCTTTATAATCTATTATTTTGATAAATATAAATTTTATTAATTTTGAATTATTCGACCCTGTTTTGGTTTTGGTGTTCTCTAGTCCGAATTCACATGATTTTACTCGTTTTAAAACCGAGTAAACAAACCTATGCGAAAGTAAATCGAATGCAATATTATTCCAACAAAAGACCGAAAAAGATGGGAAAAATTTTTAGTACATAATAGGTATACCATATATACTAGAGCCCTGCATGAGTAACTCTATTTGCTACACACAATGAGTGACTCATTGCTTTGCACTCAACTCATTGTTTGTTTAGAATAGTATTTACAAAGTTTTGTTATACTCAAACGTTGTGAGTACTA